ATCCTAGATCAGTCTTATTGCAAGCAAGTTCTTGATCATTTTAGAGTTGATTATGACTGGAGGTAACAGCAGCATACTAAGTAATTCTCTTTATTTTAGAGAATTATACTATCAAGAAAAAAAAATGTAATCTAAATTATATATTTGAAATATAAAATAGAAGCAAAAGAATAAATTTAATTCAACACCTACACTGTTCATTTTTAAATAAATGGACAGGTATCTCGCGCAAATAAGCGCCCGGGCACTTAAAATATTTTTTGCACTTTTTGAGGGGCGCTTATTCAAATGGGGCGCTTAATCAAACGGGGCGCTTATGAAGACAGAGTGGAAATTGAGGGGCGCTTATGAAAGTATATGAAAATTAAGGGGTTCTTATGGAACTTGAAAATTCAAAGGACGTTTTTGAAATGAAAATAAGGACGTCTGAAAATCGATTACAAATAGTTCTGGTTCAAAAATGAAATCGTCCACCACCAGATGACATGAATGTGAGCGGTAAGCCTAAGCGAAATTAATGATGGTGGTGGTGGCCTACAGATTGTTGATTATCTTCCGATTAATATTATTATTGGCAGGATCAAACTCAGTTGAAAACATGTGCTAAAGGTGCAAAATTGGACTAGAAATAGAAAAAAAAAATGTATGGAAAGGAAAGTTAGAAGGAAAGATACTGTTCATGGAGCTCTACTGTTCAGGAGAAAATATCCTCATTTTGAAATTTTCATATGCCAGCCACAGTCGCAGGATAGATTGAATTATTATTATTATTATTAATTTTTACTGTTCTGCTAACAGAATATTCAGTGGTAATTGATGTAAATTATTGACACTTTAGCAAACAAGACAGTAGAATTTATTGTTAAATAGTGATATTTAACCCTTTCACTGCTGTAGGTATATGCACCCCCTGTGCTGGGACTCTTTTTTCGTTAATTTTTAAAATAATTAAAAAAAAAATACTAAAAGAGGTTATTTCGAAATTCTTTTTGTGTGTTGGGGCGAGCAGTAGGTTGGCCTACGCGAGGAACATTGATATTTGGTATTTTGCATGATTAGGTAGTCATGTGACCTCAAAGTCGCCATTTTGAATTTCTGTTTTTTCTCAAATTTTGATAAAAAACCCAATTTTTCCCAATGAAATTTTTATGGAATGTTTTTTTTTTTACTTTATAATGATGCAGACACACAAGATGAATAAAAACAACAACAAAAATGAGTTAGTTTGATCGTTTTATTCCAAAACCGCAAATAATCAAAGTTTTTCTTCAAAATTGTGAAAATATAAAATTTTGCAGAAAATCACTGTTAGATGTATTTTTTGCCATACGTTTTTATTTATGCTTTATATAATCTAGGTTGTAAATATAAATGCATCGTTGCAAACATCATACGGTTACTTTATTTTAGAACTATAAAAATTAGCCTGTTCTATTGTGTGAAATGTGGAAAGGAAACCGCACATATTCAACGTTTACTCATCTTCATCAGATGTATCCTGATTATCCTCTCCGTCATGGCCTTTCGAGTAATCTAATTTTGTGTGATAGGTTCTGAAACAGTCTTTGTCCGCATGGAGACCTGGCTCACTTGGGCAATCAGGGAAAATCCACACTGTCTTTATTTCTCTACCAGCTTTGGTGCGAAGTCCACGTGCCCAACACACACAACACATTTTGTCTTTCTTGTTCTTAGAGTTTCCAGCTTTTTCCTCTCTTTTTTTCGGGAAGTGCTTCCCTGTTAGCCTGTGTACAGTTTCTCTTCCTGCTACATCTTTGTTCAGTTTAGGGCTGGAACACAAAAGTGTTGTAAGGAGGTCTTTGAAGTCAGCTAGAAAAACTTTGGTAGATGGGGTGAATTTGCGGTGAAGTTTGTGGGCACTCAGAACACACTGCATAAACAACCTCAGTGCAATCTTTTTGTACCATTTGTACGTTTTCCTGACCACACTCACACTATGAAGCTGCTGATCTACCATATCAACTCCACCCATTTTGTGATTATACTCAATGATGCATGCTGGCTTGAGTATAGGATTGTTATCCTGTTTTTTTTTCCAGTAGGAACCATAGCAGCCCTACCCTCCGTGGTCAACATATATACTTCCTTGGGTTTATTATTTGACTTGTTCTTTAGCGCACAGAACTTTACTGCCTGCATGTTACCAGTTTGTGACTTCATGAAACATGATGTACCCTTTTCAAGCCTTTCATTCCCAAGATCGACAGCATAATTAGCACGCTTTGGGTTGATAGTTCCACAAATGTATGTATCATGATCAAGGAGGTAAGTAGCCAAATTTGGGAAAAGTATAGTAGTTATTTTCCCGTTTGTTGCAGTTGCCTTGCATAGACTTTCCTGTCATCCGTTGTCATCTTTCTTTCTATTTGCGCCAACATGTGGTTATTATTCATGTCGCTCTCCTTTCCGACTTGCTTCAGTATGTTGTAACACCTTCTAATTAAGTGAGTAAACTCACAAAATCTGCCATCTTCACCATCATTTAATTGCTTAAACTTAGTAAGATCTTGTGCCACAACATCCGATATCACCCTTGGATCCCCATAATATAGGTCTAGGTAATCTCAGCAGGCAGCATAGTCGGTACCAATTCCTTTTAACAGATCCAGTGGCTTTCCAGTTAAACTGTTACGAAGAATAGTCACAGCATCTCTCTCTGCATACAGTGGATCGATCATATGCTTAAAATCATCTTTGAATGTGTGGTACTCACGAACATCTCCACTAAACATAGGCAATTTTGGCTTCTCTATTCTCGGCTTTAACTTGTACGGAGCAGGTGGATTTGATGATACAGCTTCAACAGATGGCATTGACCTTTCTGACATATCTGCCTCTTCGGTGCTTTCTGATACCTGGTGTGCTCGGGTAGCTGGATTATCATCACTGCTTACGGGGGTAATTGATGATGCCGCAGCACTCTTTCTTACACTCTGTACTCGCATTTTGACATCCATGAACTCATTCACACAGGCCTGAATATAATTTTCTTCCATCTCATATTCAGTATCATCTTCAATTGTCTCGCAGTATTCATCATGACGATCTTGTAATTCAGTAAACAGAATCTCTAGTTTGCTAAACTCCGCATTTATTTTATTTATAGAATCTTCTTTCATATACTTCTCTATAACATTTCGCTGTCTCGTAAATCTCGTTTTGCTGGTTCGACGTTTAGCTTTCTTCTCATCCATCTTGGCCTCAGCGATGAGTAAATTGAATTGTGGAAGGCCAGAGGATTTGAAGACAACAAATGATTGAGACCGTATCCGACCGT